TCCAGCTTCAAAATTACCAGAAACATATTTATTCAGCGGAGACTCTAAAACTGAAGAGAACGGTTTAATCTTTAGTGTGTAGTGAGCTGGTTTTTCTTTCCTAAAACATCTTAAAGTTCCTGCAAATTATGGGGGAAAATGATTTAGCTGTTAAATATATAAAAAACCCAAACGTAGTATGAGAGAAGATCTTTAAAAGAAACTTACTTTCTTCACGGTTCATTTTTGCCAAAGCCCAAAGTTGTCACACAGTTGCTAGTTCTTACGAGCAAACTTACTACGCATTTGGCAAGTCTTTCCGCGCGGGTTTCCAACTGTTTATAAGCTCGGAAGTCCGAATTTTGGGCTTTTTCCATTTGGCAAAGGGTAGATCTGTTCCGAAAAAGACGCAGACCGTTGAAGACGTGAGAAGCCCGAAATTGGGCTTTTTGGGAAGCTTCGATTGAAGCTTTTGTAATCTTCTAGCTTCTTCAAACGTGTGTTTCTCTACACATGCTTGTGAGAAAATAGTGATCTTTCGTTAAAAATTAGCAAATGTTTCGAGCCTTAACCCTGAGCTCTGCCATTGTCGACCTATGTACTTCTCTCTTCTTCTTCTTCTTCGAGTATCATTCTTCTTTTTCTTCTTCCTATAGCTAACCTTTCTCTCCTTTTTGTAGGTATACCATTGAAGGTAACTTGCTACGATCGAAGGTTTGAAGACTTGCGAACAAAACAGGTACAACCCCCCACCCACAACTATGAAATGCACATTTAAACCTATATGTGGGTCCCACATGTGTTAATTGTTATGGTTTGTTGGCCCACACATGAGACATTCGTATATACATAACACCAATTTTCATCACATTATCAAACGGTCTTCCAACTTTTATGGTCTTTCTATAAATCTATTAGAAATGTTTCAACCAAACAGTACCAAACGGTCTTCCAACTTTTATGGTCTTTCTATAAATCTATTAAAAATGTTTCAACCAAACAGTCTTTGATCTTTTAAGATCTATTTGTAAAAGCTCACTTGGTCTTTTAAGTTTTAACCATCATATTTTGCAATAGATATTCTGAAAAAGACCTGTCAAAAAAACACTTAATTTTTAAATTTTAAGGGCGCAGACGAGTTACAACATATATACAAGAAAGGAACTGAACTCTTGAGTTGCCTCTCAGACTTTGAGAATTGAAACAGTGACAGGCTCACCCAGTTTAAATACTAATAATCAATCACACGTCGCTTTAGGAGTCCAGGTCTCCCGCAACACTTGAAGCACGCCGGAGTACACCTCCAATCATATTAGTGCACGTCAGCCACGCATGAGAATCCAGGCCCATTTGTGTTTGTGTGAGTTCACTATACTGCCTGTTTGGCTCCTACGCTTCTTAATATTTCAATTTTTAGGGGAAAAAAGACGGTTTGAGTCATTCGACTACCCAGAGTGGAGTGGACAAAATCAAATCTATTCTTATGCATCCGGAGGCTGTATACGTTTTCCTACCTTTTATCTCTCATTTTTATAAAAAATAAATAATAAAAGAAAAGAAAAAATCAACAGATTCTATTTCAAAAGAAAATGATAATATATAATCTATATCTATACAGTAGACCACAATGTGCTAAGCTGAGCTGGCATATTGCTGCGTTTTGGTTTACTTGGGAGCGCACTTTCTTCCTTTAGATTTTTTACAGTTTTTTTCAAGAAACACAAGTTAAGCTTAATAACTCCAGGTCTCCACGTCACTAGGTTCTCAAAGATATCTTTGGGAGCCCAAACGTCTCAATCGTTTTACTATTATCAAACCGAACTTGGATTCCCAAAACATCTCAGTAAACATCTCAAACCGAACTTGGGTTCCCAAAACATCTCAGTAAACATCTCAATTCTCAACCAAACATCTTCCTCTCAAAACCATTTCAGTCATTGCAACTTTGTAAGTTCAGCCACTGCAAGTTCATTGTAAGTTTCAAATATTTTAACCTTCTCTTTCAACATCTGAAACCCATCTAATGTTTTTCTTGATTAAACAAGTAAGAACATAAATTAAAAAAAAAAAAACAAGAAAAAAGCATTAAAAAAAAGTAAAAATTTTGATCCGAATCAAAGTGATACCCGTTTTTAGACCTGTGTATGGGCCGGCCCGGCCCGGCCCGACTCCCGAACAGGTTTGAACAGGCTTTTTGGCCCGCGGGCTTAATCTCGGGCCAAAAAGCCCGGCCCGCATAAAATTCGAGCCGGGGTCGGGTTTTTCCAAAATAGCCCGGCTCGAGCCCGGCCCGGCCCGACCTATAGTTAAACCTAAGTAAAAACCCTATGTGATGTCCATTTGAATAAATTTTTTGATTTGAGAAGGTTGTTGATTCACTTGTAGGCCCATTGTTCATTTAAATAGGGGAAAAAACATTTGAATTAAAATAGATGATGTCTAATTGAATAGGAAAAATTTTGATTTTCTTTTATTAGGTCGGGCTTCAGGCTCGGGCTCGGGCTTCGGGCTTTTTATCAGGGCCGGGCTCGGGCCCAAGTTCTAGGCCCGTTGGTCGGGCCGGGCTCGGGCTCGGGCCTATTATTTTTCTATTAATGAACACTAAAAGCCCGGCCCGAGCCCGGCCCGGCCCAGCCCATGAACAGGTCTACCCGTTTTAAAGTCCTGGTGAAGAAGACGACCAAAACGGGCCTAATATGACTCATTTTCGTTTGGAACTGTTTCACATAAACGGGTTCATTGTTTGTCGTTTTAAAACGGGCCTATTGACATCCGTATCCTACACGGTTATGATAATAAACGCATAAGACACAATAATAATAATAATAATAATAATAATAATAATAATAATAATAATAATAATGTTTCACTTTTTATTAACAAAAACCTTAGTAATAATAATAATCGAAAAAGGATGTTATAGTATATGCATACTGGTCCTTATAGAGCAAATAAGCACTAGATAACTCCATGACCAAGGATGATACTCATGACTCATGATAGAGGAGATCACATCTCCTCCCCACAATGTCCCACAACATATTTCTRCTGTGTATTGAGAACATCCCCAATGATAGTATCAGAACCAATGATGTTATCATCGGGAGATGTTCCCAATACATGGCGGGGATGTGTTGTGGGGTGGCCCCTTGTGGGGAGGAGATGTAAATTCATGATAGAGTTCTTCCTGAATTCAAATGCTCTGTATGTCTATTGTAACAAATCATATCTATCAGAGTCTGGATCTCTTGCCCATGAGAACCCTGCCCATGTCTACCCACAACATACTACCCCCATCTCCCCCTGCATAATACTATGCAGAGGATGAGATGTTCTCCATGTATGACTGCAATAAATGTGGGCAGAGTTTGTGTAAGCAGGAGATCTAGACTCGTAAAAGATAGCCTCTGTAAACATCTCATATGTTTTACATTTTATAAAACCTCCATTAGCTACTTGTTCATAACCCCGTCAGGACAAGGGCCTGTTTTTGAGTTTGAGGACTGAGTTGAAGATTGAGATGGTATTCTGAATAGTGGCGCATCCACGATATATTCCATTTTGAAACGCACCACGCCTCAACTAAACCATACTATATCGTGGAGCATTCCACACCGTATCTTAAAATCCTGTCTGTAGTTAAATCTTGTGGACCTTTCCACACCACGTTGGCCAATTCCAAAATTAATGACTCCCTACTTCACACAATGCATTATCCAAACTCGATAATTCCAAAATTGTGGACTTTTCCTTTAATTTCTATAATTTGTATAAAAACTATCTTTTTATAAAATTATTTGATTTTATAAAAATATTACTCTTGGCAATTTAATAATTTTAATATATTTTTGAATTATTTTTTATAATATTTTATTAATTTTGGTGATTTATTATTGTTTTTTAACAAATGGTTCTCACTAATTATCTTAATTATTCATATTATATATAAATGCATTAATTTGTTTTTTCATGGTTAAATTGTATTATTTTATAAATTTATATTACTTGGAAAATACAATATTGATTATTCCTGATTAACAACATAGATCATCTCATACATTGTATGTGAGATGTATAGAATCAAAACATAGAGTGGACTAAACTGCACCACACCTTTAGAACGCTTATAAAGGTGTGGTGTGATTCAATCTACATTTATATCCCTAGTGCAAAACAACTACCCAATTGGCCACACCACACTGGTGTGGATAAAAACACACCACCCAATTTCTCATCTACACTACAAAACACCCCCAAGTTAATCTGCTTCAGCTGCCTTTTTCTTTTCTTTGATACATACAAATTACATGACCATGGGAAAAGCATTATCCATTACATCATCAGCAAGCAAAATATAGTCCAAATCCCACCAACACGAGTCAGAGACACTAGTGACCTCTTATGACCTTCATTCGCAATCCAATTAGCGGTTTGATTTCCTTCCTTATGGATGTGATTATGCTTCAAAAACTACCATTGAAGATCTTCCAATCAAACCAGCTTTATCTTCTCCATAATTTCGTTCTAAGCATCCAAAAGTGCAAGTCTCGCTTAGCCCATTTTACCCATTGACTTTTTTCCTTTATCCTCATTTCATTAAACACCCCGGTAGCCTCAAAATAATCCATTGAACTTTCTAAAGCTTTTTAATAATTTTTAAAAGTCTATACATATTAAAAGTTGTCATTCCTAATTTACCAGAGATCTATATCTATACTACTATAAAAAGGTGTCAATGTGAGTGTAGAATCTTTGTGCCTACAATACCCCAATTTTTGAACTAGTCCCTCTCTAATTACATGGACAGAAATGTAATTTAAACTGCTCTTACTCTTAATTCTCGTTAACATTCAACTAGAATATCATTATACCTCCATTTGAATTTAGTTACCATTCATTTTCCCTGAATTTCATTTTCTAGTGAGAACCGAAATTCAAGTGCTTCCCATGGATTGGATAATCGCAACCAATGACATTCGAGGCATTGGTAATGTTCTAACTTTGAAGAAGGCAACGTCAAGGAAAAGAAAAACAACAGAAACGTTTCTTTGGATCATTACCAAACACCACCATAATATCCCGGAAATGAGAACTCCGGACTCCTCTATCCTGAGAGACAGCCAAATGATCCATGCAGGAAGTCCAACGTAAAGAAGACGCAATACCAAGTATTGGTTAAGAAAACCAAATAGTTGCCCCGAGACAAACAGAAATAAATCGTTACAAATCTCACTAGCCACCCAGGGAAAAAAGAACGGAAATGGCAAGTATGAAACATCAATTCAAACTCACAATTCACCAATTTCAGCCAGCTGGTTGGGTTTTATTTTTAATTATTTGACCATCTTTCATATGGAGAGCCAGCAGCCTTGAGTCAACTCGAGAATCCGATGAAAAACAATGCAAAATAGTGATTTGAGTCATCTCAAGAATCAGATGAAGTTTCTGATGTCCAGCGACTTCACACCAACCATTTCTTCATCCTTGAATTCCTCCCTGGAATAGGACAAAAAATCAATGTCTCAAAAACAATAACATATACCAAGTTGTCCACAAATTACAATTGGTTCATTCAGTTGGTATAATTGGCCACCAGATTGAACATCAGTGCTGGTCTCATCCATTCAAGAAAAAAGGGGGTGAGAGAATCAGTCTCTTAATCATTCAAATTTGTTTCATGTGAGAGTTCACTTGAAACCACTTATAAGAGTGAAGTGGGTTGTGAATGCATCAGCAACATACCGTTTCTTCTGAGTTTCCATAGCTTCAAGCGCATCCTTCTTCAGCTCCTCTAACTGGGCTTTTGCAATTTTAAGTTCCAATTGTTCTTCATACTTTGGCAGATCTTCTCTCTTAATTCCAAGCCTAATATGCATTGACAAATAAGAGACGAGTAGTTAAAGCCATGCATTCTCTTCCATATCTAAGAAACTCGGGAAGTAACAACACCTGAGCTTGGGCTCAGATAGCCAAGCTCAGGCTTGGGTCTTTTTATTTCACATACATATATTAGGACCATTGAAGCCCATGTTAGTGCCCATTATTTAAGGCTTAATTTAATATGCATTAAAAGAAAAGAAAAATAGCAAAAAAAGTTGTAATTATATCTATTTTAAGCAATATCTACAGTATACACCATATACATTATAGTATCTAACCAAGCTAAGCTTTAACCAAGTTGAGACCACCCAAACTCAGCTTAAGTTTGTTTAGCCAAACTAGATCAAATTCAGGCTCTAGCTTGGCTCATTTACAGTCCTAATGTTTATGAAACCAGATTTTACAATAAATTGACAAAAATTTTCAAGATTAAAAGAAAAAGATGGAATAATAAAAGTTTATGACTTTTTRGCACCAAATCTCTTTTTTTTATCAATTAGCACCAAATCTCATTGCCAACTTTGAGCCAATTTCTCTCTTTGAATCAAATAAATTTTTGATGTTATATCCAAAGATCTCCCACCATTTTGGCCAATATTAAGTCTTGGAAGCCAATTTTGGCCAGAGAAAGAGAAAGAGAGAAAGGTGTTTCAAGGGGGGTATTTGCCTTCAAGTTGATACTCATAGATACTGTGAACAGTATTGCTAGTATTGATCTCTTATCATCAAGTATCAGATGATACTGCCTGACACCTAGTGATTTACCGACACTCATGTATATTGGGTCTATCCACAATATCCATGGAGGTACCTAATTACTAAGCTAAAAATCTTATACATTAGACAAAACAAACTGAAATAACAAGATTTCATGATATGGTCTGAATATAGGTAGTAGTCCAACTATGCCTTTCCATTTCCATTCAGGGACATAATCTCCTAATGGGTGCCTACATCCATGCATTGGTGTATCATTMGTGGCAATAGTAGTGAGATTGGAGACTTGGGAGTAAAATCAGGTATCTGCCTGCTAGAGTAGCGTGTACAATATGTGTGTACCATTTTTTTTATATGTTTGTGCCATATTATGACTTAACTTGAGGTATCTTCATGCTTTATCTTTTGCATTAGGAGAAAATTGGTTACTTGTTCTTATTCTCTTCTCTTATTAGTAAAGTAATGTCTATGACTCCGGACTCCCAATAAAAATAATAATWCAATGACGACATCAGATTCACTTGTGAATCTGAAACCTTGGTCCCTAACAAGTTGGATTCCTTGAAGTTATTGCAACTTAAGTATTGAACCCATACTTTGCACCATCTCCAAACTGAGTTCTTCAAGTCATATCACATGAACAATCAAAAGATGTCAACAAGTAGGGAAAATTTCTGGAGTGAATCTTACTTCTTGTTGATCTTATCAAACTCTGCCATAAGAAGTGACATTCCCTTCTTGTCAGATCTCAGAAGTGGTTTCTTGATCTCTTTTTCAACTTTTTCCAATGCATCCATCATCATAGATTCCGCACCAAGGTCATCGGTGAGGCCTCTCCTGCAAAAGATATTTAAACAGTACATGAATTGAAGTAAATAAATTTTTCTCCCTTCTTGGAAAAAGGAGAGATGCCTATTACGTGAAGTAGAACCTCTTTTTTTTTATAAACTACATGAAGTAGAACCATTGAGGATGAAGTAATGAATTGGGTTACGTTGCAAGCCACATATATACTAGCTGCATGATCAAGTAATTCCTTTTTATTTTTGAAGACATACTCAAGTCACTCCTTCACCGCTAAAAGCAAATATCAATGAATCAATGATGAAGTGGATATTGACAAATTACCCACAACTTTTAAGTTTTAAATATAAGTTAAATAAAACATATTGAAGTCATAATGCAATCAGAAAGGCTTAAAGTTAAAAAAAGCCAACTCCAGTGAAGAAATTATCTGCTTAGAAAATGATTATGATAGTAAATTATAGTCTTAACAGACAGTTTTTCTGAATATCATCAACAAATCAGAAAGATAACCACATATAGAAGGGCGGGCTAGAGAGAGTAAAACAGCACATACTTGATCCTGATCTCCTTCAATGTCAGCAGATATGATCTAGCATCTGGAATACCTTGAGTTCGCGTTTGAATTGTGTACTGGATCCTTTGGGATTCTGAAAACAAGTCTGCCCTGCATGTTGGACAAGAAAATAAATGGAAATATATATTGGCATAATATTATTGTGATAAAAGAAATCATTAAAGCTTTCTTTTTCTTTTTGATGATTAAAAACATGTCAGCCTTCTAGTGCATCAACTATCAATGCTGTAATATAGTTGTCACAGGACATGAGAAAACACAACCAATCTAGACGATGACTTGTGGAATAACCAAACATTTTGCCGCTTACTATAATAAACTCAGTGTTCACCTTCCTTAAAATATTTATTTCAAAAAAAAAAGATTTCACATTATCTCAATTGTAAATACAACTAATCTGTGAGAATTGAAAATAACCCTAACTTCCAGAATTTTACTTGTTGAATCACAGGACAAAAAGTACATTGTAGACTAAAAGCAATCTATTGCTAATAGAATGAATATCTCCACCTAATAGAGTATCTTTCAACTAAGGAATTCAAAAATGCAGGTACTTGCTTGTGGAGAACAGCACTGACCAATATCATGGATAGAAAGTTTGCACCATAAAATGCCAACTACATTAAACAAGGATCTCAAGAAAGCATCTTTATAAAAGGAACCAAAGACAAACAGAAGTTCTCACTTTTCTCTCACAGTCTTCATGACCTTCGCATACTGAGCAACTGCAGCCGGATCATCTGGATCTATAGTGATTTTCTCCTTCCGAAGTACTCCCAGGGCTGTATCAAATTTCTTCTTAACCTCCAAAAAGATGTTTTTCAGCATCTCTTTTAGCCAAATACACGTGCAGTAGTCAGTGAAACATATCATAAAGAGRTTAACAAAAAAATCTATAATATTAGGCCAAAGATGCATTAAAGATAAATGCTGACAAGAAACTGCATCTGGTATATAATGAATTAATATCAATAGGCATCCATTTAATATAAATCCCAGGAATGTAGATTACTATATAGTACACACTAAACCAAACATACAACACCACCATCGACAATAAGGGCTTATTCATTTAAGACACCGGAGAAGTCAAGAAGATCAAACTCTAACTGCATCTTCTCAAATAACTGCTTCTTCCAATTTTAGTGGTCTGTGAAATGCAAATGGAGCTATTGCGTTTCATGTGGGCCTAGCCACAACCATCCACATTGGATAAATTACCAGATCTTATATCTTTATACTTATAGCATCTAGCCATCTATTTAACATTTATTGTATTATCAATTGTTTAACTCAAATGAAAATACGATGCAACATCACAATCTGAAACCCTTCTTCATTCAAATCTGGTGAATTATTATTTTTTATGAGTTATGCTTACTCTGGCTCTGTTGATCTTACAACTCAACTTCAAACCAAGTATGATAGTTGCTCTAAGGTTATCAAAGCTACTTTCTTGTATATATTCTGTTTTAATACTACCTATGTTAAAATCTCTTGATTCTAGAGCATCTCACTCTCACCATAGATATAATTTTGCACTTATTCCCTCTCTAGTTTCATCAATTAATACTATGTCATAAGAAAATGACATACATGATGGAGCCTATACAAACATTTTTATTTTAAACCTTGTTTAAAGGAATATTAAGATACAAGAGATAAATAAAGATGTAATCTCAATTTATAATAATATGCATATATAAGAAACAAGATCAAAAATAATATTAGAATAAATAAATAAATAAATTATCAAAAAATATATTAGAATAAATGAACATGTATAGATAGAGAGGGAGAGAGAGAGAGAGAGAAACAATTATTGAAGCTTTAGTGAATATCCAAATTTTGAGAAAACCATGTTTTGCTCGATTCAAACCAAAAAGCCAGAATTCCTATACAGTTAAAAATTTTCAGTCTAGGCATCTTAGAAAAGGAATAACAAAAGTTGAGCAAGAGAGACTATGAAATGTGCTATGGGTGTTGGGTCATGGGTGGATTCCTTATATTAGATTGATGTCAAAAGTGATCCATGCGAATGGTTTGAGGTTTAGTTGTTCAGCCAAAGCAAGACCCACATGTGAGAGCCCCTCACTGAATCTCAAAAACTTAAAATCAAAATCTTGAGATAATTAAAATAAGGAGAAAGACACAAATATCACTTACCATCTCCCTTAAGGGCTGGTGGTGCTGCTTCTTTAGCAAAGAAACGGACTGGAACAGCATTCTCTGGTTGTAGAATTATTTGACCAGCATACAACTGTAAAACCATAATAATCAGAAGAGACACAAACTAGGAAACCCACGGAAAAGGAAGAACAACTTCAAAAAACTAGTAAGATGGAAATTTCAACATCAAGAGCTTCAAACAGAAAGAGTGAAAAGAAACAGCAGCTTAGAAAAAGACACTACATACTGAATTTTAACAACTCAAAGTTTCATTTGGGGCTTAACTGTGCTTGGCAGTAGAATGACAGACCCAGACATGATTGTGGACATGTTCACTGGCTCTTAGCATAGATATGATATTGGAGTAAGTGGACATGAATTAAAACATCATACTAGTGAATCCTCACAATTAGACAAAATGTGCATCCCTAAAGGACTGTTTAGTAAACACCCAGTATAAGATAAGGCTTTGTTGAATCATGTAGTTGCATTTGAATTTCATGGATAAACACCCCATAAGATATCAGGAAGCACCTTTAATAAATTAACAAAGTCAGTTGCTTAATAACATAGATGAATTGACTAAACATGTTCAGGAGGAAGTTCCATGGTACATGTTGTTTGCAGATTACATTGTTTAGTTCATGAAACTAATGAAGGATTAAATGCAAAATAAAGCTTATAGATAGGCCTGTAAACAGTATCCAGAAATTCGATTCTGAATTCGAGATCCGACTTAAACAAATCGAATTTGGATATTCGAATCAAATAAGCAGTCAAATTCGAATTTAATTTTCATACGATTATTTAATCAGATCGAATTCGAATTTGACTTGATTCGATCCGATATATATCCAAACCGATTGTAATTACATATATTAATATATTATATAAATTTACATGCATAACCCCATTGTATCTATGTTTCTTTAATAGTTTAAGGGTATAAAGGTAAAACCACTTTACCCTACACACATTCCAACAAATCTTCTCTTCCATTCGAAAATCTGGTGCATCCTCCAACAAATCCCCTTCCCCAAAAAATCAGCGAACTCTCCAAGAAATCCCCTTTACAAATCTTCTCTCCCATTTGAAAATCTGGCACATCCTCCAACAAATCCCCTTCCCCAAAAAATCAGCAAACTCCCCAAGAAATCTCCTTTCCAATTTGAAAATCCAACTCTAAACCCAAGACCAAAAGTCCCTAACCCTCACGATTACCTTGTTTTGTACTTCTTTTCTGTGTATTCTTTGAAGAGCCAAAATGGCAACCGGAGTTGAGAAATCTTGCCGCTGCAACATTCCTTCACACAGTTTAGTGCTAATACCTTTGCATAGGCAAAATGGTGAACGAACAAGTTGGAGAAACCTCTGCTGCTGCAACATTCTTCACAAAGTTCAGTATTATTAGCAGCTTTTCAGCAAAGATCGATGTCCACATTGAAGTCGTTTTTGTCTAAGATACGGTTGTTGTCAACGACTTGGCATGGACAACGAGGAGCATTAGCGGCAAAGGTAGATCAACCGATCAACTAAGGTCAGATTCTGACTTGTTCTTTTTGCTTTCCCTTCTATAAATTTTCTAGTGTTTGTAGCTTTTTTATTTCTTCTTTTGCTTAATCTTTACTGTGGGAATGGTTGCCGAATTTAGGTTCAGATTTGTCAAAATTGTAGCTACCATATTTTGATTCTAAGTAATATTTTTGTGTTTTAATTCACAAACAAAAATAGGTAGCTTGTTTTTTGGGTTTGGAACAATGAGATTTTGCTTTAAGTGCTCATCTTTCATTTATCCCCAATTTCTTTATTTTTATTAGAATTTGAATTTTATGTTTTATGACAAACCTAAACAGTTGAACTCGAATTGGTTGAATATTCGATTATTCACTCGAATTCGAATTCAGTTACTGATTTTAAATATTCGACGAATATCTAATCGAATTCGAATCTTTGTTTATGCAATCGAATTCGAATATATCTTCATTCGCTTCGAATTCGAATATATCTTCATTCGCTTCGAATTCAATCCGTTTACACCCCTACTTATAGACAAATGCCTTAGAAACAATAGGTTTTAAAATAAGTAGGACTAAAGAGTATATAACATGTAAATTTAGTAATAATAGGAGTGTAAATCAAGATATACTTAAGATTGGAGACCAAGAGATAACTCAATGTGAACATTTCCAGTACCTTGGCTCAATAATTCATAACAAGGGAGAGATTGAGGAGGATATCACCCAAAGAATTAGAGCAGGATGGGAAAAATGGAGGGGTGCATCTGAACTTTCATGTGATAGTGGAATACCACTTAGGTGTTAGGTTAAAAGGAAAGTTCTATAAAACAGTTGTAAATCAAGCTATTTTGTGTGGAGTAGAGTGTTAAGCAGTCAAGAAACAACATGTCCAAAAAACAAATGTAGTAGGAACGTGAATGCTAAGATGGATGAGTGGAAAAAACTAGAAAGGATAGGATTAGGAATGAAGTTATGAGTAGGAACCTAGGAGTAGCTCCAAAAGGTGATAAAATGAGAGAGATTAGACTAAAATGCTTTGGGCACATGCATAGACCACCAACTGTGCCAGTTAGAAGAAGTGGTTTGTTATACATTAAAGGGGCTATAAGAGCTTGGGGTAAAACAAAAAGGGCATGGGTAGAAGTAATAAGAAATAATTTAAGCACTGATAATTTAATAGTGGATATGGATTTAAACAACATATTGGTGAAACAGGATTCATATAGTCGACCCCATTTAGTTGGGATAAGGCATGGATGATGGAAAGAATTGCTTCATAACATCATTGATCAATAAAAAAAAGTTTCTTAATAACAACTAATGAAGTAAAAATTTCAAAGTTTTTAGGAGATCTTCAAAGTGTTACATCCATACCACTTGGATTTGCATATAGGAAAGTGTTTTATACATGGAATACTTAGATGACTAAAATTATCTTGATCAATATTAATGAAAATAATATGTTTTACCAAACAAAAAATGACCAAATTTATTACCATAATCTTTTACAATTTGTTCTCTAGGTAGAAATTTGATACAGGTTAAAAACTTTAGAGGGACATGGGGAAGGCCAACGACATTGGTTGAAGTAATGGGAAAAGACCAAAAGACTTATTATCTAACAAAAGCCATAGACTTGGATAAAATAGATCAGAGGACTTAATGGTCTTGATTATTTTTCTCTTTTTGGTCATAGTGGTTGGTGGGTTGGGGTTGTGTTTGACATTTGTAGTATAATTATGGTTGGCATTATGGTTGGAGAGATGCAAAAGAATTCCTACTAAGAAGTCTTGAGAACAGTGGAAGAAAGATTTTATTATATGTTCATTGAAAAAAAAATTTCAAAATATTAAAATTATTAATTAAAAATATAAAGTTAAATTTTAAAATAAATGTTTTAAAAAACCTATTATCTCAAATTAAAATATATAGACAAAACATGTAAAACACATTTAAAATGAAAACTTAAAAATAAGCATAACATATAAAACGCATTCAAGCATGTAAACTCTTAATCTCTTTATTTTTTCCCAATTGCATTACTTCAAATAGCTAATATGATATTAAACATTATGCATTCCTAATTCTAAGAGCCACCTTTGTACCAAGAAGCCCCTTGAAGCAAGCCCAAACAAGTTCATATCAGGGTAGGGGTGCAAGTCGGGCGGGTTGGGCCGGGTTTATGGTCAGCGCAGGCCCGGCCCTAAAATTTGGGCTTAAGGCCCGAGACCGAGGTCAAGCCCGATTTTCCTAACCCGAGCCCAACCCACCCTATAATTTGATGCAGTCGGGTTGGGCTCGGGCCTGGGCCGGGTTCAGGTTGGTCAATGAACTCACTCTAAAATTATACATATATAAATGTATTTATGCAAATATATATATATATATATTTATGTATGTATGTAAATATGTATGCAAAATATCTATACAAATGTTATATATACAAATATGTATGTATATACATGTAAATATGTATGCAACATTTACATATATACACATATATGTATAAATGTATATAATTGGGTCAGGCCCGAGCCGGGTTCGAGCTACCTAAGGGCTAGGCCCGAGCCCTACTCAAAAAATAGAAAAGCCCGACTTCTTGGGCCTGAGCCCAACCCGTGTAAAACTCTGAGTTGGGCCGGTTCGGGCTCGGGCTGGGCCCGCCCAAGTTGCACCCCTCTATCAGGGTCTTAAATTCTTAATCCCTATAAAAAAGGTTTTATAAGTTTAAGTGTCTTTTAAAAGTATATTTTATAAGGATGAATGAATGAGAAACATTAACAAATATGGGCTGAAGCACAAAGCACACCTGGGCCGAAGCGCAAGGTGCACCAGGCGCATGCCTTTTCAAAGCACTGCGCTTGGTACCTAGGCGAGGTACATACCCTAAATACACCTCGCCTGTGTGCCCAGGCATGCCTTTCAAATCACTAAATGTAGGCACTCTTCAATTGACAAAACAAGTGGGCTTGTCAAAAAGTTGATAAAGAAAAGTAAGACCATCTTAACTAAAAATAATAGATAGAAAAGATGCATGCAAAGCCAATACGACCTTCAGACTAAAATGTTGTCCAGGCCAAAAATAAAAAATTAAGTACCAACCAATATCACAATGGTTGAATGCAAGGAAAGAGATCTTGGATCCTTAAACCTAGATAGGGAGAAAGGCTTTTGGCAATCATAATATTTTCTTCAAGAGTCCAACTAAGAGTCATCAGATGCACCAGTAAACTACTTCCAAGGTGTAGAACTGTAGACAGCCATGTCTAGATCTCGAACATGATCTCATTGCTAACTTAATTTAGATTTAAGTTAGTTCAGCAATTCTTGCTTTTCACTGACCTATCAAAAGAATTTTTGGTTTTCACTGTAATTTCAAGCTGATTCTATAAAAACCTTATAGGAGGTTTGTTGAATGGTAAAAAAGTTTCATGGGTTTTATCCATCTTTGACCAGAAACCCTTTGGACGCAACAATTAAGACTTTCCTTGATGTACATATCTAAAATAAATTGATACAGTGGAACAAGGTTAAAGTGCAGATACCATACCATGGATCCATATATCATAAATAAAGAGTGGGCATAAAAAACTTTGATATTATCAAGGTAATTCCAATGGGGTGGTAATTGAAATGATATTTTAAAATGGCAAAGGATATCAGCATTAATCGAATGGAATTGATCCTGATGATTCAAATAGAAAAGGGGATTGAATGAACATAGAGAAATGGCAATCTTGGAAGGGAATCAGGGATTAAAAGAGCACGACAGCTGAACATCAGAAAACTGGTGGTGGAAGGTGACTCGAGCCTGGTTATTAGGTGGCTGCAGAAGGAAGACTTCAGTTTGTGGAAATACTTAAATGAGAAAAAGAAAATTAAACATCTGACTCAAAACATGGAAGATCAGTTTCAGTGGACTAAAAGGTGTGCCAATTCCTTGGCAGACTCTTTGGCGAAGCAAGGGGTGGGAAGAGCTATTCTTTTCTGGGAAGCTTTGTAATATGAAGTAAACTTTTAGGGAGGGTTAAGAGATTTTACCCCTCCCTCCTGTTGTATCCTCCTTTTTAATCTCTTTATTAATAAAAGTTTCTGTTATCTATCAAAAAAATGAACATATAGATATGAGCCAAACAACAAAGGGAATCACCAAAAAATAAGGAACTTGAATCCATATCAAGTTCTTAGCAAATACAATACTTTGCACTCTGCAGATAACCAATAGAACGTCATCAAGTGAACCAAAATAATGGTCAGGTGTACTGATCAAAAATAAATAAATAAATGGTCAGGTGTTAAATTAAAGACGGGTCATTGCTTGGTGCAATGGTAAAATTTCGTGCTGACAAGCATAAAATGGAGGTTCGATTAGGAATGATTCGAACTTGTTTGGGGTTGCTTCGAGGGGCCTGGTACAAAGGCGGCTCTTAGAATCAGGAATGCATAATGTTTAACATCATATTACCAGAAGGCTGAATCTAGACTGGAACTTCACAACAAATTTTAATCAATAAATAAACAAATTCGTAGCACCATTTGTCAACGAAGCTGATCATCAGTTTCCAAAAAACGTAGTCCAAAATCTGTTGCATAATTTCATACTTTCATTTACGAGATCAGAAAAGAGGACATAACTTAGTTATCCAGAATGGATCTCAAACTCTAATTTTAAATTTCTCCTCGGATGAGCTCTCAAACTACGCTTAGAATATCCCAAATAAAATCATAAGAACAAGCGGAAAGGAAGGAAGAAAGAATGGAGAATCTGTCTGTGTAGATAGAAGAGGATACCTGTCTAGATCTCGATAAGATACGAGAAGCGAGCGCCATGACCGGAGCTTCTCTCCGTCGATCTTCTGCTAGGTTTGGTGTCCAACGGGTTCCTGAGTCCTGTTTTGGTGGAATGTCTTTCACCCAAAGGCGTGCTTCCGCCCTAAAGAGTGTAGACACAACCAACCGATGTCGAGGAAACGAACCGGAGCCCTATCGCCTTTTGTCCTCTTGACGGTTCGATGGCTCGACCATCCGGTCAATTGGTTCAAATCGCAATTTCATAAATAAATCTAATTGGAAATTTATAATAATGACAAAAGTGAGAAAAAGTGTGAATTTGCAAAAGAAAAATATATAGATAAAATGTTTTTGAGCAATTGTATCAGGTAGGCACAGTATTCTAAGCACGTTAAGTGAGCACTTAAAAAAAATTAACGCTTATACCTTAAAAAATATTCCCAGCCTGCCCTTTATTATTTTAAAAACTTATCTCCTTTTTACAGTTAAAATTTTTTTATGAACACTGGGTTTCTAATTGTGAAAAAGAGATAAATCTTCATAATAAAAAATGCCAAATGCAACCTAAAAACATTAGAAGATTGATTAAGTGCTCATTGAAGGTACTTATCTTGGAATARTGCTAGGCTAAAACTAGAAAATCACAACCTTTGAATCTTTGATGCATTGCTATGGTCCCACCTTAGTCAATTCATCAAATTCAAGGTGGGCCACGTCAATATATCAAGAGCGGTATTTACCATTTTAGCCAAGTGCTACCTGAATTTTTAGCGGGTGGGAGAGGGTAAGCAAGAGAAGAGTTCAAGACTTTACACCTCTCGTGGTTTCATTGAAAATCATTTTCTAGACTAATATTTTCCTGGTTGGTTGGTTTTCTCAAATGTTAGTGGGCAAGTGGGTTGGTGCCCCTGATTCTTTGTAACCTTCTGTGGTGTTTTGCTTTCTTTCTTTTTTCTTTCCAAGTTTTGTTTAAGCTGTGTTTGGTTTGAAGAAAAAAGTAAGGAAGGGAAATGTAACTAGAAAATCTTTATAAATCTTGTATAAGTTTTTCTATGTTTTCCTTCCTTTCCCTACCTTTTCCTTCAAACCAAAAATAGTGAATGAGCATGAGCATTTGATAAAAGCTGGACCACTGAAAATGGATGAATTGAATGAATTATTACTTTGTTTTCAATTGGATAAAATATTCAAAGGGTATTGTAATTAACCCAACTCCTGCTTCAACCACTGAGAAGCTCACAAACCTCTTTAATAACTTACTAGTTGGCCCCGTGGTTGTTAAAAGAAATTGCCGTAGGAGACTTATAATAATACCAATTGAGCTAAGTGGTGTGTTAGTTTTTATTATTTATCTTATTTTTTACTATTTTTATTATATTTTATTAATTTTATTACTCTTAAATGTGATGCATAAGCTTTACTAAGTGGCATTTAAACACGAGTCTTGGGACATTTCTAATTAGGCCAAGCTAAACCCTATCCATCTTAACATTATTCTTGGGTGGATTATGTATTGTCTAATCAATTAAAAAACCAAAAATCCAAAAGGAATTTGTAAGAGGGAGAGTTGCTTTTTATTAAATTAATTAACAAAGTTGTTAATACTTTTTTCTTTTATCTTCTCTTACTTTTCTATTTTTTATATTTTATAATTAATAAAATTATTTTTAATGAAAATTTCTCTTATTTACTCTTTTTTATTTTCAAAATTGCATAACCAATCAGACCAAATCAGTCCAGCATAGTATGAACTGGTAATTAAAGCTAGTGAGTCAAATGGCTTTTAGGTATTCGAATAACCAAATCTATGAACTTTGTCTTATTGAGGCATAGTGATTTTTGGACCCTTTTTTCATTTATTCTTCTGCTTTTTTCATCTTGGGAAATTACAAGCAAAGTTGGGGAAACAAACCTAGTTCATTTGGTCTACCACCCAATGCTTCTAAAATTTAAGTTCACCACAACAAAGCTATAAGACAAAGGAGACGACAATTCATGTTCAAACAAAGTGTTTTTAGAAAATTAATAGTTAAAATTCCACATAATTTATAAAAAGTAGTGAATTTTTAACATAATTTTCTAAAAGTATAATGAAAAAATTTTTATTTAAAATTTAATTAATAGTTAAAATTAATAATTTAACAAAACATGTTAATTAAAAGTGAAATTAATAGTGTTTCTAATATTAATTTTCAAGATGTATTTTTCTAAAAATTTATATGGTATATCTTGCAAACCATATGGATCAATCATAGGGATGACAATTTTCTCCATTGAACCGTATTCTCGCTCTACCCCAAATGGAGTGGATTTTCCCTAGGAATGGCATGAGGCAGATTTAGGGTGAGATACCCCATCCCCACCCTTGCCTCGTAGACGAAATCCCCAAAGCCATCCTTGCCATGTCCTACCATGTCCCCAATGGTGGGCCAAGGCACCCCTTCCCCATTGGAGATAGGGAATCCCCAAATTTTTATTGTCCCAAGGCAATGACTTAAAAATACATCAAATGTTAAGAGTATTTTAGAAATGAGATTGTAGGAATTTGGGGGTACTTTAGAAATGAGMTTATTGGGTCTTGGGGTTTTGGAAATTTGGGGGAATTCAAGGTTAATTTAGAAATTAATATTAAACTTAGGGATATTTAATAATTTGCCATTATGTTTGAGGAATTATATGTGAACATCATCCCCGCCCCATTCTCGATATGAGGTAAAGACATTTTCTCAATCCCCATTTAATATCGAGGAAAACACATCCCATTTGAGGTGGGCAAGGTAGGGGAAGGCCCCAATTTTATGGGAAAGTTTCCATCCCTAATTTTCCCCTCAATCTTAAACAATGAAAGGGTGGGGACAAGAAAAACTTTTTTGTCCTAAATAGGGAATGGGGTTGGCATATAACTCTTTAAACTTGCTATGAATCTGGTAGTAAATTATTAAATTACCCCTAGATTTATTATTAATTTCTAAAATATCCCTAAGTTTCCTCAAATTCCCAAAACTTTAAGATCACATAACCTTCTTTCTAAAATACCCCAAAATTCTCATAGTTTTGTTTTTAAAAAATACCCCAAAATTCCGATGATCTCATTACTAAAATACCCCTAAATTTAATGTATTTTTAGGTGGTCGCCTCGGGGTAGGAAAAATTCAAGGATTCCCCATTGGTGCCCCTGCCACAAACTAAAATTTTATATTTTCTTGACCCATCTTCTTGTTATAATGTTCCTTGGATTTTAGCATCAAGACAAATAGTGATGTGTGGTGCCAAAAATGTCCCATGGAGAGAGAGAGAGAGAGAGAGAGAGAGAGAGAGAGAGAGTTTATAATGATAATATTAAAATATCATTTGTATTATCTACTTTTTCTCTCTTCTTAATATTTTAGATATTATTTATTCATCTTATTTCAATATTTAAGTTTTAACTTAAACTATTTTCAAAAAAAAAAGTTTTAACTTGGGTAGCGTTTGATAAATCTAAAATCTGGAATTTGAAAAGTTAAAAAGATATTAAAAAGGTTTAAAATCTGAAAAGAGACATAGTTGTTTTTGACTTTTTAGAGGCTCTAAATAAAGAAGGTTGTTTGTGYTGGATCAAACCTTTAGCATCTAAAATTCAATTTTACTATTTTACCCCTAAATTAGATTGTTCGGTTGTAGCGGCGAGAGAAGAAGAAGAAGAAGAAGAAGAAGAAGAAGAAGAAGAAGAAAGGAGAGAGAGAGGGGGTTGGAACTCGCCGCTGCTAGTTCGTCGGAGGAGTTGCAACGGCGAGAGAAAGAAAAATAAGAAAGGGAAGAGAGAAAGGGAAGGCTGGAACTCGCCGCCGCTAGTTCGCTGTAGGAGTTGCAACGTCAAGAGAAGAAGAAGAAAGGAGAGAGAGAGAGAGAGAGAGAGAGAGAGAGAGAATTGTTGAGAAGAAGGATAACATGGCCTCCTAATATAGGCTAAACCCCTAGTGGCTTGGCTTAATGGGAGGGCTATGAAGGGGAAAGGAGAGAGAGAGATAGAGAGTTAAAAGGAAGCTGAAAAGGGAGCTTGCAGAAAGGAGAGGCATGCTGATGTGAACTACTTTGTTTTATATATAGTATAGATTCATTAAAATGACAAATCAACAAATCATTTAAGTCAGCCACTTCATTTGTTATCAAATGGTTCTGACCTCTATGTTATATCATAATTTGGGATATTTTCAAGATGAAATGTGGATATTTTAGAGAAAAGAACTACTAAATGCAATAATTGTTCAGTGGATTGTGGGCCCCATGTATTTTATTATTGGCATGGGGCATTAACATTGGTTCCACAATCCGCTGAACAACCATTGTGTTCAGCTAATCCTTTCTTGATAATTTTAAGCCTCATGTAGTACCTATTTGGGAGGGTTGAAGCCTGAAGCATAACATGCTATTAGACCTGTTCATGGGTCGGGGGCTTGAACAAGGTTTTTGGCCCATGGGCTTAACCTCGGGCCAAAAAGCCCGGCCCGCATAAAATTCGAGCCGAGCTCAAGCTTTGCCAAAATAGCTCGGCCCAAGCCTGACCCGGTCCGACCTATAGTTAATCCTAAGTAAAAGCCCTATGTGATGTCCATTTGAATAAATTTTCTATTTAAGAAGGTTGTCGATTCACTTGTAGGCCCATTGTTCATTTAAATAGGGGAAAAAACATTTGAATTAAAATAGATAATGTCCATTTGAATAGGGAAAAATTCGAATTTCTTTTATTAGGTCGGGCTTCGGGCTCGAGCTCGGGCTCGGGCCCCAGTTGTAGGCCCGTTGGTCGGGCCGGGCTCGGGCTCGAGCCTAACATTTTTCTGTTAATAAAGAGTAAAAGCCCGACCTGAGCCCGGCCCAGCCCAACCTATGAACATGTCTACATGATATGTGTTGCTAAGGTGGGCTCCACATGGATAGCCCTGAAATTCCACATGGGTAATTATAACCATTAATTATGGATGTTCTATCTCTTTCAATTCTCCTTTACCTCTTTCTTAAAAAAAAAATAGAAATAGAAAGAATTGCTGAAACTTCACTCCCCTACTTTCTGAAACCTCCCCCATACCTTGCTTTATACTAATAGCATTGTCCTCCATTGAACTTTTTGACATTGTTACATCTACACTCCCTCCATTATCTT